GCCTACAAATATACATAGTCTATATATATTTTAGTGGTGATTTTTAGTAGAAGGAAAAAGAAATATATATTCTCTCTCTAGAAAATTAGGGTTTATGTTCTCATCTAATGGAGGATCCCATAAGCTTAGTTTTCCAAGGTCATTCATGGAGGCTTATGAGTGATTCCTAAAGGCAAAATAATTACCGAGAAGATGGAGATCCAAGGAGAAGGTATCTTGCTAAGGGATCTACAATAAGTGAGAACATTCACTTTAGAGGAAAGTTTTAAAGGTTTACTCAGACCTTTGATGTAGGTATTCAATCCATTAATTGAATGATACATCATATTTTTATTTTTGCATAAAACTTGTCTCTATGTGATGAATCAAGATTTATGAATCAAAATCCCTCGAAAAGTTTTTAAAACTTGCATGTTTCCCAACAAGTTCAACTGGGCATTGCCTGGTGGAGCTAGGGGAGAACATCTGGACATGACCGAATGCCCTGGTGTTACAATCCGCAGAAGAAAACCTCTCCTTGCTGTTGCAACTCCATGTTCTTGCTAGTGTAATCCGTGACATTGTCATGTTTGTTGCATGTTTCCCATTTTCGATAATAGAACATATTTAGAAAGAGAGAGTGTAAATATAGACCAAGCATTCTAAGCTTAAAGTATTGGATTGTGAATTAGATAATATGAATTAAAATTTGAAAAAAAAAAAAACTTTTCTCACTTGTCACATTTGTTTGTGTTACACTCATCTTGTCTGATATAGATGAAGGAAAGTTGGAATGTCATTCTATACTGAACACATAGCTTGAAGAAAGATTGCACTTGGATATAGGATGCTGCCAAGGTGACTAACCGAGTATATAATTTTTTTAGTTAATGATATAACATTAGAGATTGTGGGTGTCACTTATTAGAAGCTGATGTGGCATGTTGACAAGTTAATACAACCCTAGCCAAATCCTTCGTGGCAATTTGAAAAGTCAAAAGCCTCGAAAGATCAAACTTTGAGCACCCTAAGCCCTGGCATTGCTCCAGGCCTATCAAACCTAGAAAGATCAAACTTCGAGCACCCAAAGCTCTGGCATTGCACCAGGCCCATCAAGCCCTGTCATCGCTCCAGGCCCATTAAGTCTCGAAAGATCAAACTTTGAGTACCCTAAGCACTGGCATCGCACCAGGCCCATCAAGCCCTGGCATTGCTCCGGCCCATCAAGCCCTGGCATCGCTCCAGCCCATCAAGCCCTGGCATCGCTCCAGCCCATCAAGCCTCGAAAGATCAAACTTCGAGCACTTTAAGCCCTGGCATCGCTCTAGGCCCATCAAGCCTTGAAAGATCAAACTTCGAGCACTCAAAGCCCTGGCATCGCTCCAGGCCCAACAAGCCTCGAAAGATCAAACTTCGAGCACTTAAAGCCCTGGGATCGCTCTAGGCCCAACAAGTCTCGAAAAATCAAACTTCGAGCATTTAAAGCCCTGGAATCACTCTAGGCCCAACAAGCCTCAAGAAGTCGATCCTCGAGCATCCTAAGCCCTGACACCACACTAGGCCCATCAAGTCTCGAGAGACCAACTCTCGAATACCTCGAGTCCTAGTGTTACGCCAAACAATATTGCTTTGAAAGACTAGAGCCCTAGGGGTCCCACTATCAAGGGATTGCGTATAGCATGAGACGAAGGTAGGGTCTTTGTGCTATAGGAATCTATGTTTGGGAAACTCAGGAGGATCTTAGATTGGTGGATGAGAAGTCAAGTGGTGCCTTCGCTCTCGGCAAGGCCCAATTAACAAGATGATGGGATTATACATGTCATGACAACAAACCTTAAAATCACAATTAATGCTGTGTCTGGCTTGACCAACTGACAGCCAAGCAACATTTAATGCCCCTGATTAAGGGAGAAGTGACATGGCAGTATAGGATAAGGCTCGAGGAAAGGATTATACCCTTCAGACTCCTAAATCTCTAGGATTCCTCACGTAATCCAGATTGGGAGTAATGCATGCGAGGGACCATGCACGGAAGGGATCATTGGATAATAACCAATGGAATCTAGATCTATAAATAACACTATCTTATGAAGGAATTACTAACCCGAGAAGAGGAAGCTGTCATAAGATATTGTATACTTGTCCTACCACCATCTTTATCTTGATAGTTGGTCTTCTTCTTCTCCTCCTCCTGCACTGAGCATCTTCTCTGTTTTCCTTCGTATTTGTATTCCTGATATTACCATTATGTTATTGTTTATCACCCAGTTAAAAAAGAACCCCTACATTTTGGCGACTTTGCTGGGGATATCAGTACAAGCATATGGAATCACAGGATATGCCAACTCATCATTCAGAGCCCTCTGTTGGAGGAGGTGGTGACTCTCCCCTCCAGTCCTAAGCGCCGTCACGTGCTTCCAATGTTCGTGCACCACACGTTACAATGCTAGAAAGCTCAGCAACCCCTTCCGTTCATGAGGAGTTGTTGCAGTCCAACCGTGATCTTAATGACCACTTTGACAAATTAAAAGCCTTGATTATGGAAAGTGAATGGGCCAGAACTACATCTCCCTCTAGGGTGGCCTTGTCTGAGCACGACCAGCCAGGCAGTTCATCCACTCATATGCCACCACTGTGGTATCCGCCGACGTAGGTCCAAGCAGCCCCAAAGCCTACCCCGGTTCAATCTGTTCCACCGACAAACCCTTCCCCAGAGTATGTCACTGAATCCATGCTATGTGATTTCTTTATGAAGTATGCCCCGTCTGCTGCACGTGCGTTAGAATTACGTACGGAGCCCCCGTGTCCAAAAGCCTTGCTCAGATGCCATACCCACAGGGGTACATCATCCCAAAATTTCCCAAGTATGACGGTGTCAAAGGGGATGCCGATGAGCACTTGCAGAGATTCGTAGAATCTCTAGGCCAACATAGCCACGACGAGATCCTGCGCCTTCGAGAATTCTCCAATTTTCTCACAGGGCTAGCTTATAGATGGTTTCGAAGCCTTAAGCCAAACTCGATTACCACTTGGCAACAGCTCTCCCAGAAGTTTCATGACAAGTTTGGCCAAGCCATCTAGAGGATCACCACCCTCTCCCTCACTAAAGAAACACAAGAACCTCATGAGGAACCCCTTAAGTTCATCTTCTGCTTCCAAGGCCGTGTGAGGGAATGCTTTGAGGGTAGCAGTGAAAGGGATCTGGTTGATATTTGCATACAGGGTATGACCAAGACTTACAGGATACACCTGGTCAATTTGGGACTCAACAGCTTCAGCGATCTCACCACAGCTGTACGAAACATTTGCAAGGATTTTGCACCTCCCAAAGCAGAGGTCGTTGGACAGGTAACTCGCAAAGACACGCCGGCTGCTCCTCGCAATGATAGACCAAAGAAGCGTCGCGAGGCAGATGCTAGAGCTAAGGGATCTTGAGCTGAGTGAGCTAATGATCCTTCCCCATTCCCAGTGTGTATGGAAGAAGTCGCCAGCACCCTCGAATAATGGGTCAAGCATGGCGTAGTCGTGCTACCTGTTCCTCACAAAGACGGCGCAGGATCGCGCAAGCCCAAATTTCTGCATCTTCCATCAAGCCACTACATATCTAATAAGTGCCTGTAGGACACTGAGGCGAATTTTTCAACAACGACTCGAGGGTGGTGATCTTGAGTTGACCGCGTTGAAGGATGTATGGCGCAATCCATACCCTCATCATCGCGGTGTGGCTGTGGTCACGTATTATGATGAGTTGGAAGAAACCAACCCCATGCAATCAAAGGTTCAAGCACAACACAGTGAAGAAAAGTGTTGCACAGCCACTTCGTCAAGTCAACCCACCTCTCACCAGGCCCCTTTGACCATTTCCTTCTTCGAATCTAACAAGAGGGTTTCTATTCCTCAAAATCGTCCTCTCTATGTCACTGCGCAACTCAATGGTAGGGAGTTTCAGCGCACTTTTCTAGATAATGAATCTTCCATTAACATCATGCCATACGCAATCCACAACCATATGGCATACTTTACTGAGGACCTCTTGTTTAATGAGTTAGACGATGAGGATGAAGAAGGAGAGATGCATATAATTTGTACTTTGCTTTCCAAGTGGGACGAGGTGTAGCAGGGCATTTTTTACCCTTTACAACCATATGTTCCTCGTCGCAGCACAGAGGTCACTACCCCACGGGAGTGCAAACGGGTCCGGCTGCCGGATGGGCGATATGTCTACCGCTTATGACGGTGTGCGGGCTCAGCTTTGGCGAGCCCAGTTGTCGAGCCCACGTCTATAGAGGAGGAGTCACTGCAACCTCCAGATCTTGAGGAGGTTAATCTCGCCCCCGTTAGACGAGAGCCACGGATGACCTTCCTCTCCTCGCAATTGGGCTCATCGTTGCGAGACAACCTCATCTGCGTCTTGAAGGAATTTTTGGGCATCTTTGCACTACAACAAATAAAGGTTTCAACGGTGGTTTAGACCGCCGCTATAAGGTTCCAAAAACGCTAGTAATTCCTTTACCGGCAGTTTTACCCAACCGCCTGTATAGCCACCGCCGATAGGTTTCATCGGCGGTTTCTACCTAACCGTCGGGTATGAAATAATTACTGGCAGATGTATACGAACGCAGGTGAAAGATGTTTCAGCGGCAGTTTTGTCCGCCGGTGCATTCAAATAAAAATGTCAACTAACTGTATACTATGGTACTTTGAAGCGCCGGTAATCTAGATTTTTTACTTTTAGGGGCGTTTTAAACCGTTGGTCTATTCTTTTACTACGGTGCTTTGAAGCGCCGGTAATGTAGATTTATTACTTTTTGGGGCGTTTTAAACCGTCGGTGTATTCTAAGTAAACTGCATATTTTTTTATTTTTGGGGGCGTTTTAAATTGCCGGTAATGTGTTAATTTTTATAAATAAAAAAAAATATTATTTTCTGGTTTATTTACATATCACCAAATATTTTATTTTATTCCCTGTTCAATGAAATCAAAGATAATTTACCAATCACAACACATCCAACAACTTAAATTTGATATGTAACATAAACAAAGTTGCATTAAAATCTAATAACATCCCATAACATGTAAGTTTTGTTTCAAAATGTCAAGTGCTAATAAAAGGTTCAAAAGGAAACACCAAAATGTAATAAAGCTTCAAAAGGAAATCATTCAAAATAAAACATCAACATTTCATTGAGAATTTGAGTGAGACTATGCCAGGGTCTTGAGAATTAATGGTTCAACTTCATCTCTCGTCTTGCTTCAAATTGCCCTACATACATTTTAAATAAAAGCCACTAAACAAAGAATAATAATTAAATGTGTGGTTAAAATAACATGATAATTAAAATCTATAGTGCTCACCAGGGATGAAATTTCATGACCAAAACTAAAATTTAAGGATCACCAAGTGTAGTTGAGGAGCCGGGTACCTTCACAATATAAAAATAATTTTATTATGCACCTTCATAATAGAATATAATTATAAATATATTAGGACCTATAATATTTATATAATTAAATGTTTACAAGGGTGCAATAACAAAAATATTTACCCGTACATTATAATTTTGATGTTCAATATGATGCAAAATCATAGCCATTTTTGCATTCAAAGCTTCATATTTTTCATCATACTCAACACGTATCATTTCCACTGTCTCCTTCATTTCTGCACGAGCAACACGTGTCTCCTCCTTTGCTTGTGAGGTCCTCCTTATTAGGTCCGCTTTACTAGGAGATGGCCGCCAAAGACTAGTAGATGTAGGTCCCAAGCCATACATCCGAACACAGCCCCTTCTTTCTTCTCCACTAACTTGGGCATAAAAATCATGGGGTGAAGGTTCATCTGGGTTAGAAGGCTGAATTGCAGCAAGCTCTTCTAGTTGTGTCTGCCTACATACATAGAATGGATAAGGAAACATAAAAAGATATAAAACATGAAATATAATAAATTTTAATACTCATATTTTACACTTAATCAAACTAGGAAATAAAGAATTGATGGTCTAAAAAAATAGTTACAATCATTTTGGCAGCATGTTTATCACTAGCTTTGCCATCCTTCTTACTCTTAGGTGTTATGCAAATAGTTAAGCACGAGTTGGCGCCTTCCCTAATTCTAACGTCATTTTTTTTTTTTTTAATATATATAACTTACTATAATTATACCGCAATGATGTATAATAAATTGTGTGACATATAAGTGATTAACTTCATAAAAAATCATGCTTAACCTTTTCAGCCTTCCGCGCATAACTCATTGTCCCAGTTGAGTGCAGCATTGTTTGCTTATAGAGCCATTTACTTCATTTTGTTGGCTTTGTTCCTAAAACAAGGGAATAAGAAGGTATATATTAGCTCTTAAATTATAAACACACACACACACACACACTATATATATATAATATATATATAACTACCGGATAGTTCTAATGAGCTAATTAAATTACAGTTTTTATTGACTTCCATTTCGGTTTTGTTTAAATAAGCATTGCCATGTGTCATACATGAGTAAACATCATAACCAAGAAGCCATTGCCACAAACCTTCGTCAAAAACTATGCAGCTTCCCCAGCTCAGACTTTATACAGCTTATTATATGTTCAAACATTTGTTTATTCTTTTCCTTACAACTAAAAAATTCATAGTACTTTTAGCTTTCTCATCATCATAAGACCTGCGAGATGAACCAGAAACTACTTCTGATCCCATCAAAGAATCTTCTTGACTAATCAATACTAAACCAATTGTAATTAATCACTATCAGATCTAATTCTAAATTCTCTTGGATGCAACTCCAGGATTTTGATGTATGCAATATATAATATATAACTACTGTATGCAACTGGCAACCCAAGTGCTAGGATACTATTTAGATCAGATTAGTTTGCAGCATATGGACTATAGTAGTTCATATGTGTTTAAATGCTATAAACTGACTGAAAAAAAACTAGAAAAAAATGGTAGAAACTGACTAAAAAAATACTAGAAATTGTTCAATTCCATTAAGATTTATCGAGTAGGGAGTGCTAAATACGGCAATAATATTGGAAGGTGTTGCCCTCTACTTCTAGTGACATGTCAAAAAAATAAAATAAAATAAAATTAAGAATCTTATTATTAACTAAAAAAGATGATCAAGCTTATAGACTAGAATTGTGGAATCAGAAGTAGATATAATTGTCACTCAGAGAAATGTGATTATATATTGTGGAATAAGTTTCATATACTATATAATGATAGCAGAGGTGATCTCTTGAAGAGACAACAATCCAAACACTTGGCAGAGCCTATAGACTACTATTTTTATTTTATCAAAGCAGGGGATATGTTAGTGTTATAGAATTGGCCATGTTTTTAAGCTAATGTTTCAGCAAAGAGCTAAAGTGATGATTCATAAATATATAATTAAAATAAGGACATTTTACTTGGCAAATTCAATTATAATGAAGAGCAACACCAACAACAAATATTAGAAAAAATAAAATGAAATAAAGCCTTTTAAAAGAAAAATTTTGCAATGAAAAGCATGTTGACATAAAGTTTAAAAGAGCAAGGAAGTAAAAAACCATCACAATTGGTGGAAATCCAATCTAAAGAAAATGGAAAAAATTAAATGCTAAAATCACCAATTTAATAATTTTGAATAGGACCAGTATGTTGACCACGATTGTAAAAGCTGTGTAGGATTGGGAAAATTAGAACCTTTCAAAATTAAATATGCACGATTGAGATATCTAATTGTAGGCAAATGGCTGCTTATATTAAACAGGTAAATGACAAGTATGGCACTCAAAGTGTGTCCCTAGATGTAAGTTTTTATGAATGCGATTATTAAAACTAGGTTTGGGACATTTTCTTCACAAGAGAGAAATTCCATACATCTCAAGAACAAGAAGGGGAAAGTTAGGGTTTAAACTACTTACAACTTACAAGAGCCTAACCCTTCAACCACCACTGTCCAGACCTCCGATGCACCACCAATCGACCACCACCATACCACCAATTGACCACCACTGCACCACCCGCACCACCAATCGACCACCGCCGCCGTGCTCTTTCCTGTTTCTCCTAATGTCGTGGGTAAGAGAGAAGAAATGAGTCTAACCTAAAATGTTTATATGAAACTATGGCAAACCCAAAATGTGCTATATTAGGATAGAATAATGAAAAATAAAATAATAAGAATTAAATTTACCGGCACACTGTTTATAACTGCCGGAAATAATTAATAATTTTCGGTGCTTTTAAAACAAATGCCGGAAATAATTAATATTTTCAGGCACTTATAAAAAAACTGCCGGAAATAATTAATATTTTCTGGCACTTTAAAAAGACTGCCAGAAATAATTAATATTTTTCGGCACTTTTTAATATATGGCCGGTACAAATACAAATAACGGCCGTTTAGTAGAAATCGCTGGAAATAATTAATTAACAGTGGCGGATAGAAAAAAAACAGCCAGTGAAAATGATATTTGTTGTTGTGTTGCATGGACCTATAGTGAGATGCCAGGCTTAGACCCCCAGCTTGTGACACATCATCTCAGTACCATCCCAGGCTTGCGCCCCGTTAAGCAAACACCTCGAGTTTATTGTCCTGAGCTCGAGCTTCAAATTAAGACGAAAGTCGAAAACTTGTTTCTTGTAGGTTTGATTAGACCAATCTTACATCCAACTTGGCTGGCAAATATTTTTCCCATGAAGAAGAAGAATGGGCAAATCCGGATCTGCGTCGATTTTCGCGATCTCAAAAAGGAATGCCCAAAAGATGATTTCCCTCTTCCTATCATAGACACACTGGTTGATGCAACGGCTGGGCATTCACACTGGTTGATTTCCCTCTTCAATATTTACATCAAGTATTCGAAAGGTGTCGCATGTACAATCTACGCATGAATCCCCTTAAGTGCTCATTCGGGGTAAGTCGAGGCAACTTTTTGGGCTTTTCAGTGCATCGCCAAGGGATCGACCTCGACCCTACCAAGGCTCGCGCAATTACAAATATGCCTCGCCCCTGCTCCTTCAAACAGCTCAAGAGTTTTTTTGGGCAAAGTTTTATATTTGCGTAGGTTCATACCAGCAGTTGCAGAGGTCTCTCACCCTTTCAGTACACTGATCAAGGGCAATGCCAAATTTATTTAGACAGCAGCTCATCAAGCAGCCTTCAAGAAGATTAAGTCATTCTTAACTCCTTAACCACAATGCACCCACCTATTAGAGAGCAGCCTTTACTTGTCTATCTTACCTTGACTAACAAGTCTATTGACGCTCTTCTCGCGTAAACGGTCGAAGGCCAAGAACGTCCAATGTATTATCTCAGTCGCCTCGTACGAGAGGCTACAGCTCGATACACAGCCATTGAGCACCATTGCCTCGCACTTGTATTTGAAGCACAGAAATTTAGACACTATTTCATGGCTCACCACGTCCATTTGATCACAAAGTGCGACCCATATAGGCACCTCCTCTCTAAGCCAATCATCTTAGGAAAAGCATCATGATGGCTCTTAGCTCTCTCAGAGTTTGATATTATATGCTTTGCACTGCGAGGTATTAAGAGCCAAGCTTTAGCAGATTTGCTTGCCTAGTTCCCCGAACAGAGGCACGAGCCCCTCGATGACGCATTGCCCCTTGACGAACTCTAGGTTGCTGCCCCCCAAGACAGTCACAGTGAGTCGTAACTTGCTTTTGATGGGTCTTCCACTAGCAAGGGAGGAGGGGCAAGTATCGTCCTCACCTTTCTAACTTAACACATCACAGTGACCTTCAAACTTGGTTTTCGTTGTTATAACAACGAAACCGAGTATGAAGCACTCATTCTTGGCCTCCTCACAGCCCTTGACAAGGGCATCTCGAGATTATGCATATGCAGGGACTCCAAACTAGTTGTTAAGCAAGTGACGGGCAAGTACGCCATACACGAGCCCTTGCTCGCATCTTATCGTACCATTATTCAAAGGCTCATCACTAGATTCTCATCCATTCGGTTCTTGCATGTACCTCGTTCCAATAATAGGTACCCAGATGCACTTGCAACCTTGGCCTCTAAACTAACAATTGCATATGACATGACTCAGATCCGCATCACCAAGTGCATTGGTCCAGCTACCATCACCGAGCTTTTCCTAGCCCAAACTGTTCCGGATAATGATTGGCGAGCCCTAATTATTAGTTAACTCAAGCAACGAACAGGACCACTGCCCCTCACGCAATGGAAATCATTCCAACTTTTACAGGGTTTGCTATATTTCCACCTACCATGTGGAACGTTAGCCAGGTGTTTGGGCCTTCGCGATGCCGAAACAGCCCTGAAAGCGACTCATGAGCAGCATTGTGCTACATCTTTGGCGTTGTATCGACGACTCCAGCATCAGGGTTATTATTGGCTAGATATAGTAGTACAGGCCAATACCCTGTAGCGCACCTACCCACAATATCAAGCCCTGATGGACGAGACAGAGTCTTGTATTCTCGAGGTAGTTGATTGGTGTCGTCCGTTCATTGAATTCTTCTCGTATGGCACCCTTCCAGACGATAAACAAACTGTTGCAAGGATAAAGAGGAAGTCCGAACGATTCATGCTTAGGAAGGGTGATCTGTTTCGCCGTACCCTCAATGGTACGTATTTCCGATGTTTATCTCACAGCGACGCCATGGAAGCTCTCAAGAAGGCTCACCAATTGGAGCATCAGGGCTTGCGCAAGTCCTTTGTGCACTTGTTAAAAAAGGGAGTTTATTGGCCCACTATGGAGCGTAATGCCAAGTCTCATGTACGAAAGTGCAGGCCTTGCCAACATCACCACCATCAGATTCATACTTTAGCTACGCCCCTCCACCCCATTGAAGTCCCTTGGCCATTTCACACATGGGGACTAGATCTTATTGGGCCAATCCATCCACCGGTGCAAGGTTATATGTGGATCCTCGTTGTAACAGAATTCTTTACTAAGTAGATTAAGGCGGTCCCCTTCAAGCATGCCACCAGTGGGGCTGTCGTGGCTTTCATACAGGAGAATATCATCTGTCGCTTTGGAATCCTTTAGTGCCTTCTCACTGACAATGGTACTCCTTTCATCAATCATAGAGTCAAACGATTGCTCATACAGTACAATGTCTAGCATAAACGATCATCGCCATACTACTTGCAAGGCAATGGCCAGGCAGACGCCTCAAACAAAAACCTCATCCGAATCTTAAGTCGAACCCTCGAAAAAAACCCTACCACATGGGTGGAGCAATTACCCCTAGCACTCTGGCTTATCGCATTTCTACCAAGCGCTCTACTCGTTAAACTTCGTTCTCCCTTGTCTATGGAACTGAGGCTGTCTTGCCCATCGATATTGCAATCCCCGTGGCACAGCTCGCCTCGCGAAGCAAGATTCCCATATCTCGAGATAATGAGTTAGAAGCCCTCGATGAGCGATGCGAGGCAACCCTGCAGCATCTCCAGTAATACAAGCACAGCATAGCGCGAGCATACAACAAGCATGTCCAACCTCGACAGTTCAAACCAGGCGAGCTCGTTCTTAAAGCTGCCCCACACATTATGTGAGGTTTTCCAGCTCCCAAGTTCTCACCTAATTGGGAGGGCCCTTATATTGTCAAAACATCTAGTGATAGTGGTTATTGCACACTTGAGGGCTCTGATCATAGCCCCATTAATAATGTCTGGCCGAAGCCCTACTTTTGTTAAGCTTGGTTATCCCAAACGAAAATTTGTTTTCTTATTTAGTTTGGTGCATGCCTCGAGTTTTTGCAAAATTAAATCATGACAAGGGAAAGAGAGAGAACAAACAAAAGAGAAAGACAATCACAAATTTTTTTCTTATTCAATGTTATTTGATTCAATTGTGGAGTCCTCGACTTTTACATACATCAATAACAAAAGAGCGACCTATGAGTCTAGTTTACATATGAAAACAATAGCGAGTAATCGTCGTCGAGCTCCTGTGAGTATGCCACCATCACCGCCAAGCTTTTTCACTCTTGTGCGAGCTCCCCCTCCAATTTTTTAATCCGAGCTCGTGTTTCCTGAAGGTGTGGTGCGAGCAATCGCTGCTGTAAACATTTCTTAGCCACATATAGTCGTTTTCGCAGCCATAAAACAAGAACTTTGAGCCTCTGAACATCATCTAATAGGAGTGTGGGCTCTTTGACGAGGTCTTCATTGGTCGAGTCCTGTTCGATTTCCACAAAAATCTCCAAAATCTTACCAAGGCATAAGTACATGGATTGTCGTACATATGCATGGCACAATGATAGAAATTGTGAAACCTCAGGGTGATGTGCGAGAGCTATCTCGAGGAGCTGTACATAGGCTAGAGGGAGTAGCATGCCCATCCACTCCACCTCTGCACCGACAGCTTGTACTCTCGCGCCACTGTCAGCGATTTGCTCATTCCCCAAAGTTGGCTCACCAAGTGGGATCGGGGTCTGTTCTGTTTTAGTAACAAATTGTTCACCCCGAGCTTGTTATAGTTTGCTCAACAATGGGAGCTGTGGACTGTCTCGATTGGGTACCCATGGCATCCACCACGAGGGTTTCAGTCTGCGACTCAAGGAGGCCTGGCGAAGTGTGTAACTCCACCAAAGGAGAAGATTGAGCCTTCTCCTCTAGTGAAGCTTCCTCGTTCATGCGGGAAACCTGCTCTGCCTCTCGTGTTTCTAAGGGCGAGTTTTGATTTTCTAGATTTAATGCCCTATCCTTCTCGGAGGAAGCTCGCTCTGTCATATTTTCATCCCTAGGTTGCAAGGGCTCTTGCACTTCTATAGGAGAGCTCGGGGCTATGTCTATATTTTCTCATAAGGGCATTTCTACATTTTCACCCCTGGATGACCCAACTATAAGTTCGCTCGAATGAATTGTCACTTTAGGGGTTGGGGATTTTGACCGGTTCGCAGCCCTTGCTTGGGCATCATCGTGAGCCATATTTTCCCCCTCTCGGGGAAGTACTGGTTCCTCGGTAATGTCAACACTCTCTCAAGGTGACTTTGTAGCACTCACATACTCCCGCATCATTTCTGCCACCTCAGTGGCATGGGTACTTACAGACACGTCTCGAATGGTGATGAGAGGCGAGACATCCAGTGCTAGATCTTTTATTTCTTCTTCTCTTACCCTTGTTGAAGTGTCCTCCTGACCATAATAATATAGGGCATTCTCACCTAAGGCTTGTATAAAGTTAAAAGTAGGTAAATTTGGAAATTCATTGTTAGAAGCTAGTACCTCGCCTAAGCTTATGTCGTGGATAATGGTGTTAATTCCACTATCTCGCACCCGGCGAAGCTTGCGCACCCCACCTCGCCCCGGCCCAAAGGCTGCAACCATCGAGCCATGCTCCCCAACGAGAGGCTGTTCTCCATCGTCTTCAGAAGTGTTTGTATCCTCACTCTCAAATGGTTCATCCACGAGTGGGATTCTGCTCGAGGAGGCTATGGGTCGAGATGTGTTTGGCGCTGAAGGCCTCACACTCTCCTCCCTTGTGGTAGCAATGGTTGGCTCTGCAGCGCTCACAGCTGCTCATTTTTTGGGGGGGCAATATTCGTGCGCGACATGGCTCTTATCTTGCGCCTGCGGGCAGGCACTAGGACTGCCTCGACCTTAGGAATAGTGGTCGTCGTGACACACTGTGAGGATTCCCTTTGCTGTAACTCAGCTGGTGTAGGATCAGGGGCAAAGCTACAGAGGGCACCCTTATCAAATGCTATAGGGGGCCTCAACGAGTAGTTCCCCGCGTAGATTACTAATGTTTTCGCGCGCTGGGCAGGACTTTGACAAAAATCTTTCCAGCTCGCTAACTCTATGGCCCAGAGTGAGCGAGCTGCTTCTGTACACCTAGGGATCCTGCCCCTCCCTGGAAAGAAGAGAGCGCCTCGTGAAGCAATCCAATATGATCTGCTACAAATCTTGTGAAGCTGCTCTCATAGGAGTCTTTGCCCTCGACAAAGATGTATTACAAGGGTACCCCTTTGTTATAACCAAATTGCAGAGGCACTCTGCAAGGATTGTAAGTCTTCAATATTTGGCCACCTTCCCATATGGTGGGCAAATAACCAGGGGTGGTCATCAGCAGAAACACTAGCACCTCGCTCACGTTTAATCGATGAGCACCTGCTGGAATATGCTTATCATTGTCAAAATACATAGGCAGTGTCAATACCCTAGGTAGGATCATAGCATAGGGGTGACTGACAAATTGGAAGCTTTGGTCCAATGCATATCCCAGCCTTCCTTGTGGAGAGCGCCCGTGGCATCTCATCCCTCGCACCACCTCTTCATCCATAGCCAAGTCTGTAAGGATGGGGGCGTAAGACTAGAACCTCTCGTACAAAAACATCTGTAAGAAGAGGTTGAAGGCGTAAGAGCCATGAACATAGCGACCCACAAAGCGCACTATATCCTCTACCATCATATCCAGATGATGGTATAATATACCCAAAAATAGGGGCGCGAGGGCCACTTTCACACCACTCGCTAACTTCATTGCGAGTTCCAGGATCCTCCGGAGTGCCCTCCAAAATGTATCTCGATAGCCGGTACAATAAATAAGCTGCGAGACTAGAAGAGTGATCAATCTAGGGACCTGGAATCCCTATTTGCCCCTCCTCCGAGAGATTTTTCTTCGACATGGGAAAATCTCTAAAGTAGTAGTGCACCAAAGCGCCGAGAGTGGCCTTGCGTGTACCCTTACCTCGATCAGTATGACGGACACCCTGTGCGCCCCACAAGGTCTTAAAGTCTTTGGTCTTATCCAGAGCCACCTCGAGGTCCTGAGCCAAAGCTTCTTCAGCGGGAGAGAATCCCCAAGAGCCAGGATTCTCCACACCCTGGAAGGGTAAACCCAATAGTTGGCCTACATCTTCGATAGTAGGTGTAAATTCCCCCCATGCTGTGATAAAGGTGTGTGAGCTCGAGCTCCACTGCGAGGTCAACTCCCATAAACCTATAGTGTTGCGAGGAATGTGTATTTGGCGAAACAACTTAATGCAAGGCAACAAGCTTGTCGCTTCCGAAATTGCCTTATATTCGGGATTAGCAAGAATCGCATCAGTCCACGATTCCCAACTATGTCCAGGGCTAATGTGACTGCTGAAATTCACATAAGACCATGGATATTGTCCTTGCTCGACACCAAATCTCAAAATGGTTTCAGCAGGGATGCGAGGAGCGAGGCTAATCTCAACCTCCTCATTTATCAACTCCACTACCTCCAGTGGTTCGCCGGCAACCACAGCCTTGTTGGCCCGATGCCAAAATAAGTCTGTTTTCCCGAAGAATGGTGCTTGCCACCATTCTGAATCTGCTGGCACTTTAAGGGGAGGACTGTAATTACCCGGTCATTTCCTTCCTTTTTTTTTCTCAGAATTTCACGAGTGAATTTTTTTTTGTTGAAATTTCTTGTCTGAGTTCAGTTTCTCGTCGCTTAATGTCATCTCGAGTGCTCAGAAATGGTTTCTGAGTCTCTTTCCTTTGAATTGACAATTTCTTTTAAGGATCGAGTCATTTCCACATTTTTCATTTTTCGACACTATTCACTTTTTTTTCTTTTCTTTTTTTTTTTTTCTTTTTTTTTCCATTTGTCACTTTGTTGGCACAACCTCGCTTTTCGTGTTCAGTTTTGCTTCCATTTTTGCATGCACTCATGATATATGATTTCTTAGAAATGTGTATTTCTATTTTATTAGAAAAACATGCTAAGTGTTTACTTTTCTTGTAAAGGGTATGGATGCATAACTTTTTTTGTAATAGTCTTAACTTGTGGAGTTTTTGTGTAATTAAATAAAGTAATTATTTTTCGTCTTAGGGACCATTTTGCAATTTAATTTAGAAGATATTTTGGAAAAGGACCTTTTTATAAATTTTGGAAAATATGACAAGTGTCACATTCCTATGCAACCACTTGTTGACATTTTGGTGGAACCACTTGGAAGCTTAGTCTCTTGACACATGGAG